ATACATCACTTCTGAAAACAAAATACATTTGTCATTTATATAATTATTTTTAGCAAAAGGAAACAAAATGATTAAGATACAACAACTTTTAATTATTAATCAAGGATTGAATAAGTTGTGTCATCTAAAGGTTCCTGAAAAAAAAAACATAAATCCATAAAAAAAATAATACAACGAATGAGAGAAAGAATTAAATTTTCATTTTGAAATTTAATAAACTTACGGTTAATAATGTAGTAAAACTGAATTGGTTGTTCAAAGCTTGAGGAGGATGATAAGATAAAGATGTTGAACAATGTATGTCACAAGGTTCAGAAGGAGTGGGTTCATATTCCTAAAATATTTACCAAATAAACACCATATGGTTAATGAGGAACCAAAATTGAAATTAATGCATTGATAAATTGATTGATATATGTACCTCAGCATGATTGAGATATTATCAAATGATACTCTGCATGATTTTTCTTGATTGACTATAGTGATGACATATTAAAATATAAGAGGAGATTCAATCCTCTCTGATATGCAACATGCCAAGAATGAAGTAAATTCTTGTTGGAAATGGTGAACATAGGATGTGTGTAAATTTTTTCCATTTGTATTAAGATGGGAGATATCTCATATCTCAACATTGGTAGTTTATATCAAGACTCATACTCACAGATTATTTCATTGTAACGTTTCTCTTCAACTATAAGTTCAAAGTGTTAAAAGAATTGTTTAATGCTAACATCACTCACACATCAGATCTCTGCATACCTCGGGCCTACCTTGTCTTCAGCATTATGGAGAATCTCACAATCAATAATTGTAACAGTGATTTCTGAGGAGTTCACCAGCTTATTATGTTCACCAACTCCCCTACTGCATCTGCAACAAAGCCCTTGGGCTTCCCAGCATTAATCATTACTTTATGTGCTACTCAAGGTGTTTGATACCAAACAATCCAACACCAAGCATCAAGTTGAAAAAATCTATAAATGCTCAGTTCATAAACAACTATTGCATCAACCAATTGGACCAGCCACAACCACATCCAGCTTCCGATCCTTCTTCATCAGTACCACCATCAGCAGCACCATCCATCCATAAAATGACACCCATGGAATGGTGTATTACACAACATCTGAATCAAATACAGCAACAAATGGAGGACAATAATCGGGCATATACACTACTAGATGGCGGCAAACCATTGAACCTACATTAGCCTTAATGAATCTTTCTATCGCTTTACCCTACACCAGTATGCAGGAGAGACTTCAACATTTCCATGACCAACCCCAGAGGATTTTGTAGCTATAGTATCATGGCCTAGAGATACACCTTCCTTCCCAAATAAACCTAATGCAAATCATGAAGATGATGGACCACAAGGAGAGGAAGCAGAAGAAAGAGGAGAAGGAGAAGGAGAAGTAGAAGAAAAAGAAGCACAACCTGATCATGAAGGTGGTGATGGGGAAGGAGACCACTTGAAGGACAACTAGCCTATTAATGATGATGTTGCTTTAGAAGATGCATGAACACTTTGTATTTTCTTCATTTCCTTTTTAAAGTTTAGATTTTAGTTTATGTTTGGAGTTAGTTCACATTGTAAAGTTTCAAGGACTTATTTAGTTTATTGCAGCTAAATTATGAAATTTTACTTTATTTATAAATATCTAAATTCCTTTTAATTTGATTCACTTTTATAATTTGTTTGACTTGTTTACTAAATACAACCAACAAATTACCTTATAAATTTAAACTTGTTGTATCTTAATCATTTTATTTCCTTTTGCCAAAAACAATTATGTAAAGGACAAATGCATTTTGTTTTCAGAAGCGTGTATCCATGTCTATCAATTTAAGTTGCTATTTTTCAGTTTTCCTGCATACTCGCTTAAGCTCACAATGTTCGCTTAAGCTAGTTTTGGTTCGCTTAAGCCATTCAGTAATATCTTAAGCTAGTTTATCAGTCCAAAAAGTATTTTCTCTGCATTATTTTGATGTAATTTTCGCTCAAGCTAAAACATATCCACTTAAGCTGTTAGTTCATCCACTTAAGCCAAACCATGCACGCTTAAGCCAGTTTATAATCCTGAGAGGTGTGCTCTCTGTTTTTTTAGGCTTGAGTCATTAAGATATCGCTTAAGCTCATCATTTTCTCGCTTAAGGCTTACAAATGTGCGCTTAAGCCCACAACTCACCAACTTAAGCCAAATCAAGCACGCTTAATTTGTAATCTTAGGAGATAAGCTCTCTGTTATTTTTCGTTTAAGCACGTATATTTTATCTTAAACACATCAAACACTTGCTTTAGTTTATTGTCTCGTTCCATGTATGTATTACTCACTTAAATCTTCATTCGCTTAAGCTAGTGCATATGGGCTTAAGCAAAAATTGACAAATGGCTTAAGTCTTGTCAAAATGGCTTAAGTGAACAAAGAACTAATGTCTAGTTCCTGCGTCAATTATTCTGGATATGTATCCCAAAAGTTCCAAAGCTAAAATTAGGGCAACTTAATTAAATAAAAAAAATTATTATTTTTTTGGTTTAAATTAGAAAGTTGTAAACTATTGGTACAAGATTCCACCATTCACCGTGTTAAAATTTTAATAATATACATGGTTGACCTCTTTTTTTTTTAGTAAAATCTTCTCATACTCGTGTGTCTCTTTAAAATTCTAAAATAAAAATACTTTCAAACTATTTTATTTATTTTATGACTTAGAAAACTTTTTAATTATTAAATAGATAAACTAGTAGATTTTTTTATGTTGTTAAAAAAATAGAAGCATATATATTTTTATTTAATATGTATTTTATAAAATTTAAAAATTAAAAATATATATATAACGTATAGCAAAACTCCTAAAGTAATAGAAGTCTCCTCGTTACCAGGTAGTATTTTTGAAGCGATGACTACGGATACCATTTTGAAACTTATTATTGAATTGGATATTACATGGATATTGGTTTTCCTGGCCATTCCTGACAACAATGATTAATAACTTTATAAATAATTTTTATAAAAAATTATGACATTTATTATTTAATAAAATTAATATTATTGATATTTGCCAAAGGCAGATTTCAAATTCAAGACATGATACATACGTCTTTTTAACTTCTGCTACTTTATTTTAAATTTTTTAATTATATTTTTAAAATATTAATTTTTTTTATAGATAAAACAAATATTATTAAAGAGAGTTTAAGAGGAACTCAAAACTCATATACACAAAAAAATTACTTATTCAGAAAAATAAAAAACAAAAATATACTTATACAAAGTTAAGACGGATGTAATTTCGCGGGTTTAAATACCAATCAGCTAACAACATAATAGTTTCTCTCTTACTAACAAGTGATAGTCAATTCCAATACCTCATAATAATAGAATCTAGGACCTCCCTCTCATCTAAAATACCATTAAAAAACATAATTATATTTCTATGTAATCATAAAGATTTAAACTTTTAAAATATTAGTAGTTCATATAACTATATTTTTTTTTGCTAATAAAAACTTTCTCTGTTTCCTTAACGCAACTCCTTATATTGATGTTTACAAAATATTATCACGACTACATAGATTAATTGATAGAAACTATTCTAAGTTGACTAATGATATTAATTGCATTAAATTTCAGTATATTTAATTTTTTTTGTCTTCTGTCTTACAATTCAAGCCTAGACAAGTATAGTATGGCCCAGGCTAAAGTTACCGAATTAATTAATAATGAAAATTTTTATCAAGATAATATCTGTATGAGTCCATTATTTATTCAATTTAATACTTTTTTTATAAATATCAAGTTTTATTAATTTAATTGTTGATTTAAGAGTTCTTAATAAATAAATTAAATTTTATTAATTTGAAAATTTATTTGATAAATAAGATTTCTTCATCCGAAGCTGATTTTGAGATAAAATGATCCAATAAAAGGTCACTAAATTGTATAACATTTGATCTAATTTACAATTATATGATTTAATTTTTTTAATTAAAGATGTTAAAATATATTTTTACCTCATATAAATATGAGATCAGATCAAATGATATATTTTATCACTTTTTTACCATTAAAAATTTTATTAATTTAATTGTTAAATTATTTAATATTATCATAATTATTACATACATAATATCTTAAAAGATTAATTTATTTATAGATAAAATTAATATTTTTGTCCTTTGTCTTTATGGTATGTTTCAAATAATTTTTCTCATTAAAATAATGATTATATTAAATTTTTGTTTTATTTACACTATACTGTTATCATCTTCTTTAATTTCACTCTAACTCAAAATTTTTATCATTGTTTTTGGCACCTCTTATTGAAGCTTCACAATCGTGTCAATGGTAGCAACAATATTTTTCTTTGAGTGATAGAGACATTATCTCTCAGTGTGAGGTTTAAGACAAAAAAAAAATGAGGAGGAAGAAGAAAATGAATTAAAAAAAGGAAGATGAAGGGAAGAAAAAATAGGTAAAAACGATGCAAATTAAAGATATGAGGAATACAATGAAAAGTAAATATGAGATAAAATGAAATGATATTTTTATTACTTTTTTATCATTAAATTTTTTTATTAATTTAATTGTTAAATCATTTAAAATTACCATGATTATTGCATACATAATATCTTAAAAGATTAATTTATTTATATGTGAAATTAATATTTTTGTCTTCTACATTTATGATAAGTTTTAATTTTTCTCTCTCAATTTTTTATAGTTTATTTTAATCATCTATTTTTTTTTAGAAATATTTCAAATAGATTTATTTTATTTTTTTTGCTAAAAATATTGATTCTATTAAAATTTTTGTTTTTTTTACATTTCTACTATTAAATAAAGGTGGTAGAAGAGTTAGTACACTTGTCTTTATCAAAATTTTGAAATATAGGAGCCAATATCATCCTTGAAGGTGCTTAAAAATTGGAGAGTTGAACAGCATAGAAGTTCCGAATCTAAGAGAGTTGAATTGAAAGTTGAAATAGATTAGAAATGGAGTTAAATTGGACGTGGATAATCGCTACCGTTTTGTTAGCAGGCTACGTGTATGCGTCTATATTTTATAAGGGACTAAATGGCTGCTATTATGCTCTCAAATTAGGGAAGAAGAAGCATTATTCCCTTCCTCCCGGTGATATGGGATGGCCTCTTATCGGCAATATCGTCTTCTTCATGAGACTTTTTTACTCTCAAGACCCCAATTCCTTCTTGGACAATCTTGTTTCTAAGTATCTTCTCTGTTTTTAATAGCAAACTTTGATTAATGTAATAATCATGAAAAAAAAATATTTTTACACCTCGTTTCTTAATTTTCAGATATGGACGCACTGGAATCTACAAGACCCACATATTTGGAAATCCGATCATCGTCGTGTGTGCTCCTGACACTTGCCGTAGGGTGCTGATGGATGACAAAAATTTCAAAATGGGATACCCGAAATCCCTGAGAGAGGTGTTACGATTAGGATCTTTGTATGACATGTCCAGTGAAGAACACAAGCGATTTCGGCGCCTAGTCACTGCTCCCCTCACGGGTCACAGTGCATTAGCTATGTACTTAGAGCGTATAGAAGACGTTGTTATAAATTCCCTTGAACGAATGGCCAGCATGAGTGAACCAGTTGAGATATCTGGAGAGATGAGTCACATTTCCTTCAATATCATTGCTCACGTCGTCATTGGCTCCGAGAATCAGTTCACCATTAACAAAGTTGCAGAGAGTTTTTCTGCAATGGTTGAGGCCTTAATCTCTCTCCCAATCAATGTGCCGGGTTTTGCTTTTCACAGAGCACGCAAGGTATCCTACTATTTACTAATTATAAGAATACACCATACATTGCATCGATATGAACGTAAAGAGGTTAACATTAATTTGGTTTTTACATGTGTTACATGATTTTAATTTGTTTTTTATGGGTAATTTTTTTTTAATTTAGTCTTTCCACAATAGGATACGTTATAACATATTTTTGTTAGTTAAATTATGTTTCGATTCTGATATATGTTATATATTTTCAATTTAGTCTATGTAGGAATTTTTTAAAAAAATTTAATTTCTAATAGGTAATAATTTTTAATTTAATATTGCATAACACATATATAAGGATTAAATTAAAATTTCATAACGACAAATCTTAATGTCAAAGATTATTTTAATTTTCTTTGCACGAATAAATTAAAATTTTTCGCCTGTTAAAACCAAATTAAAATAATGCAACACATATATAAACCAAATTCATGTTTTTATCATATAAATATCGGATATATGGTATACTACATAAATATGATTTTTTAAAATTATGCATGTAAGATAAGATATGATAAATTATTACTAATTTTATAAATTCTTCATGCTAGTGATTTATTTTTAATATAATTAATATTTATATTATTTTTTTATTATCATCAATTTTTACTCTTAAAAAATTTATTAAAAAATAATTATAATTATAATTTAATTTAAATAAAATTATATTTAATTTAATTATTCTTTTGTTATTTTTAAAAAACTGTATATAACTTTATTATAATATTAATTAACTTATTTTTAATAATTTTTACATATAAATATTAAATTTACTAATTTAACAAATATTTTTATAATATTATCTTTATAATTCTTATATCAAGATATAGATAAATTGAGCATTAATAAAAATATAATATTAATTAAATTGGTGTAAATTTGATTTAATTATTAAAAAATTTAAAATAATATTTAAATTAATATAATTTATATTATAAAAAATATTAAATGAAGTAACTTAAATTAAATTTATTTTTAAAATAAGTGAATTATTTTCCTAAAAAGTATCTAAAAAAAATTAATGATTATATAATCAAACTTAATATCAAGACGATATAGATAGGTGGATAGATAGAGGTAGAATTATTTTATTTAATAATTTTTTATTTAAATATATTTTTTAAAGTAAAAGTAAATACTAATTATAAAATGAACGCTTAATTCATTTAAAATTTAATATATATGATTAACATAAATATATCATAATTTTCAATAAAATTTAATATTGATAGGAATTATTGTTAAAAATAACTTTATATATAAAATATTCATTATTTAGCATGGATGAAATCTAGACGTCTCACCAATTTTAAAATATCCGTACATATTGAAGTTCAACGCATTATACAAATTTATGTGAAAATTGGATGTTGACTTTCTATTAGTTTCTTGTTAAGAAGGGCATTACACATAATTTAATTGCATTTGCACGTATAATTAGGCAAGTGAAGACTTGGCAAGCATAATTCGACCTATTGTGGACGAAAGGAGAAGGATGATAATGGAAAGTGGTCGACGAGAAGGGAAGATAGATCTTATGGATATTCTTCTGCAAGACGAAGACGAGACTGGTTGGAAATTAGAGAATGAAGACATCGTCGACTTCTTGATAACATTTCTATTTGCTGGTAGTGAGGGCACAGCCACCTCTATGATGTGGTCACTAATCTATATTTCGGAGAATCCCCATGTCCTAATAAAAGCCAGGGTATGTGAATCACATCATATATATAACATTTTATCAAATCACTGGGCACTTGCATGTCATGTCCATTGCTACATTAATATCATATGGGTATCCTATTTTTGTTTCTCATAGGAAGAGCAGGAACAAATTATGAAGGCGAGACCACCGTCACAGAAACAATTAAGTATTAAAGATATTAAGCAAATGGTTTATCTTGCTAATGTAAGTGAATATGACTTAAGGAAATGATATATACTGGAAATATTCGTTCTAAATCAAACTAATATATGAAGGCAAAAACAAGATATCACAAAAAGAATTTGCACCTCGTTATATCTTGCAGGTAATCGATGAAACGATTCGACGGGCAAATCTCGGCATTTCAATTTTTCGAGAGGCAACTTCTGATGTGGAGATGAATGGTTATGCACATTTAATGCTAATTTTGACTTCCTGTTTTAAGTTGTATTAAGATGTTGAGTCTTGTTACTTAGTAATTTAAGAATAATATTAATGTTTTGAATTAAAATACTTTTAATTTCTTAACACAATGGCATTGATTAATATTTCGTTAACTTGTTTCCGCTCGATCAAAGAAATTTATGTTGGGTATCATTTGCATAACTTAATTAGTACATTTGCAGGCTACATAATACCAAAAGGGTGGAAAGCGTTAGTTTGGACAAAAGCTAATCACTGGGATCCTGAATATTACACAAATCCATTAGAATTTAATCCTTCAAGATGGGAAGTAAGTATGATTAATGCGATGTTACTTCTTTCTGTCTCGTTTGTTCTCTTATATGAATAAAAGTGCATTTGCTTTGGCCTTTCATTTTATCCACAGGATAACAGTACCAAACCGGGAACCTTCCTTCCCTTTGGAGGTGGACTTATGCACTGTCCTGGAAGCGACTTAGCCAAGCTAGAGATTTCTATACTTCTGCATTTTTTCCTCCTCAATTACAAGTTTGTGTTGTTCTAATTTTGCTGCTTCATTTCTTTCTTTTTTTCAACCCATGGATCTTTGGGATATTATACAAGTTTGGCTAATTAAACTAACACATGCAAACGGGGAGAGAATACAGGAATTTGTGTTAATACGTGTAAATTTATATTTTAGAAGAATCATACTAACAACATGCGTTTTTGGGTATATTTTGAAAAGAACAAATTCATAACTTATTAGCAAACTGTCTATATAACAGATGGGTGTGAGTGCTAGTAATTTCAACTATTTATGATTAATTGTAATAATTAAGATTACTAATTAATTATATTTTGCAGGTTGGAGCGGGTGAATCCAGGATGTCCTATTAGATATGGTATAGGTGTTAAGCCTATAGATAACTGTTTGGCTAAAGTAATGAAGATTTCTTGATGTTCTAGTGAAACCCTTCAATAAATATATCTTATGGGAATGATGTAATCAGTTTACTTTGATAAGGATATGATGTTGAAAAGATATTATAAGTAACTATGGAATCAAAATTTCTCAATTGCTATTATTTATATATACATCTTATATGTCAATGAAATAAAATTTGAATATTCTCACTACTAAAAAGTCTGTTTATACAGACAGATTTACAGACGGATTTTTAGAGCATTACAGACGGTTTTTTCTATTACAGACGGATATAAACCGTCTGTAATATCCTCGTCGGTAAATAATTACAGACGGATTTAAAAATCTGTCTGTAAGTTACAGACGGTAGAATCCGTCTGTAAGTTATAGATGGTAAAATCCGTCTGTAAATCACAGACGGGAAAATCCGTCTGTAAGTCACAGACGGAAAAATCTGTCTATAAATTACAGACGGAAAAATTCGTCTGTAATCCGTCAGTGATATATTTTACTATAATTGATATTTTTTTATTTGTATAAATATTTATTTCCTACTATTCTTGATTATCATAATTTATAAACAAAATAGAAACTATAGATTCGGCATCTAAACATTCCAAAATGATTTATAAAATATAAAATTTAAATGTTGTTACAAAGGAAGAAAAAAAAGCATATAAATAAATACATTTAAAAATAAAATACAAGTCTTCATCAGGAATAATCTATATGGTCAGAATCCGAAGGAGCATCATCATCAGTAGAAGAGGAGTTAGTAGAAGAATGATGCATGGAGGTGAAAACCGGTGGTACTGGAGCTGGTGGAGGAGGAGGAAGAGGTGTGGAGCTGCTTGCTCTCATGAGTTCAAAATAAGCATGCATCTGCTGCATTTGCATATGCTGCTGCGTCATCTGCTGCTGGACCTCCCTTTGCATTCTCGACGCCACCTTCTTCTCTATCTTCTTCTCCATTTTCTTTGCCCACTTCTTCTTCCATGCACTTTCTTTGCTCTTCCACATCTCCTCATTCTGCTTCTGGAGTTCTTCATTGAGGGCATGGACCTGAGTGCGGACCATGTCCTCCACATCCTCAGGTGCAAGAGAAGGGGCATCTCCAGTGACAGATGCAGGGGACATGGAGTCTGCAAAGCGGCCCCCCATGCCATAAATGCGACCTTTATAAAGGCCACCCACTGTCTGTGACCACATAGCATCCTCATCTACTGACTCTGGATTCTGAGAAGATACTTCCTCAAGCCTTTGAATATAGTCATCCTACAGTTCAGTTCAGATAATTAGATATTAGTTTGGAGAACTATTTAATAAGTCGCTAATAATAACATATATTATCAATAACTATGACTTACATATGTGGCCTGAGATCATGTATCAACCCACAGGTTTTTGTCCTGCCTGCGAGTGTGTGTCTCTTTAAACAACTCTCCAGTAGTAGGTGGCCTCTTCAACGACTTCTCCTGCAATTAGAAATAAATCACAATCTCAAATATGAAATTATAGATAGAGTAAACTGAATTTTAAAATCACATACCAAGTTTGCCTTACTGCCAGCCAAAGTCGTAGACCCACCAGTATGCAGTGACCCCCCTTTATTAGATGCCCTGTTTGTCTTGTTCTTTACAGAGAGATTTTTAAACTCATCTGTACCCCAATACTCCTGCAAGGCATGAAGAAAGTTGGGTGCTATCCAATCAGCAGTAGAAGGGTCCTGGCGAGCCTCAGTGTACATCTGTCTTAGTCGCTTTGCAGTGCGACTCTTCCAGGCCTTGAAAATCATCTTTTCGTCCTGGGGGGGAATGGAGAAGTTGCTCTACAGAAACACAATTTCATTAGAAGAGGTACAAACAGTCATATGTAATTACACTTAGTTAAAATTAATACACTATTATTACCTTCCAATCTTTGAACCATTCTATCTTTGTATCATTTGGCACCTTTGCAAAACTTCTGTAAGGCGCATCAAACATCTTCTTAATCGTATCTGTGACCTGATGAAGACCTTTCTGTGGTGGTATCCAACTGATAACACAATAAAATAAAACATAACTACTAACATTCACATAAAATACGCAATGTTAGGCATATTTGATTGAATTACTTACCAAGTGGACCCATCCCATCTCAAAGTTTCTAACGATCTGGATGATGCCTGGGTCTGTGATGACTGCTGCCCGCTTACAGATGGGACAGCAGTGGATCCATCTCCTGTGCCCTGTGTAGCAGGTGACTGTGTGGCCTGTGTAGTAAGGGGTGCAGAGTGTGAAACTCGCTGTACTGGAGGGGGAGGAGCAATATACCCAGGATTCGGCACCATGATAAATTGCTCCTGTCCCCTAACCTGGGAGGTCTGCACTGTTGCTAGTGTGGACGTCGAAGTCGGAGCGGTAGGTGAAGAAGTGTTGCCACGATCAGTTTGCTGAGTAATACCCTTCTTACCTTTACCTTTACCTGCCATATCTGAATCAAACCATATATATGTTTAGAGACAAATACTATAATTTGTTTAAAATATGAATAATATTGGTGATAACTCAAATTAAATAATCATGGCAACATAGTAAATTGACAAACCTACTTACTTTACCTCATTTACTCTGATAGTTCACGACTACCTTCATCATCATTTGATGAAAATTCATCCATAATTCCTTCATCTTCGTCTTCTATGATGTCATCCATTTCATTATATCTCATAACTTGGGTAGGAGGGTCAATTATTTCAATTTCATTCAAAGGAGAAGATAAAATTGGAGGGACAACAGTGTCTATTACTACACGTGAAGGAATTAAGTCATCAATTTGATATGCATCTTCATCATCTACTTCATCACTTTCAATTCGACCCCTTGGTTTAGTTTTAATTACAATCCTCCAACTTTTATTACATTTTCCAGGGTAAGATAAGAAATATACTTGTCTCGCATTTTGTGCAATGATGAAGGGGTCAAAGCCTCTATATCTTTTGGTATGGTTAATCTCAATTATATTGTAATGGTTATGTTTACGTGTACCTGTTGGACGTGTTGGATCAAATCATTCACACTTGAATAAGACAATCCTTTTTATGGTTTCACCAACATATTCAAGCTCAACAATTTCATGAAGTTTTCCATACCAGTCACAGTCACCATCACTTGAATTTCCTCTTACACTAACTTCACTATTATCTGTTTTTCTCCCTTGACATGATTCAATAGTTTGAAATTTATACCCATTAACAAAGTAAATTGGCCAACAATATGCTTTATTTTTTGGACCTCTGGACAAGTTATATAGGTCAGGATCTGTGATACCATTAATAGGATCACGCACCTACACATACCATAAATCGATGTCAATTGATTGAATACAGAATAATATTAAAAAGTCGATTAACTAACATGTTAGGGAAATGTCATGACTTACATAACTTTTGAACCATGATGGAAATTGATTAAGGGATTCGTGACCATATAATTGTTCAAAATATCTGTAAACATTGCAACATCATTAACTAGATTTCAATGACCATGATCAGAAAAAATCATTAAAGCAATCATAAGTCACTTACGTTCTGAATGGTTGAACTTCATCACAATTTAATAAGATGTGCAAGTGGGCAGCCTCTGATTCATCACCTAAGATCCATCGTTCTTCGCATTTTCCAGATACATGACCTGGTTGGTTGAATATAGATAGACTTGGCTCATTACTACTTTCTCCCCCATCATCATTTTGACCAACCCGAGTTCTCCTAGATTGAACATGAGGTTCAAAATAGTATGTGCAAAAATTTGATGTCTCCTTTGATATATATGTCTGGCATATGGATCCTTCCACTTGAGCTCTATTTTTCACAGTCCTTTTGAACCCTCCAATTTCTCGTTCAAACGGATACATCCACCTATATTGTACTGGTCCACAAACATGTGCTTCATACGGTAAGTGTATAGGCAGGTGCTCCATGGAGTCAAAGAAACCAGGGGGAAGTATTCTCTCTAATTTGCACAAAATGACAGGAATATTTTTCTCCATAACTAATAGATCTTCAACCTTTAGAGTAGGTGAACATAGGTCCCTAAAGTACTCACTTAACTCAGTCAATGGCTTCCAAACATGGTCTGGTAGTTCCCTAAATGCAGCAGGTAGAAGACACTCTATGAATATGTGGCAATCATGACTTTTCATCCCAAAAAATCTTCCTTGTTCAACATTCACACAATGACTGAGGTTTGATGCGTAACTGTCAGGCATTTTTAACTCCTTCACCCACTTACACACATCTTGTCTTTGTGGTAAAGTCAGAGTGTAACTTGCCTTTAGCTTTGACCATCGACCATCTGCAAGTTGTTGTAACCTCAATTCATGACGCCTACAATATTCTTCTAAATCTTGCCTTGCCTTGACATTATCTTTAGTTCGATCAGTGTCCATTACAGTATTCATGATATTGTCAAATACATTTTTTTCCACATGCATCACATCTAAACAATGACGAACTAAGTTATCCTTCCAATATGGGAGCTCCCAGAATATACTTTGTTTGGTCCAATTATGTGTCATCCCATAACCAGAAAACCTAATGGATTTTCCTACTTTTGTTATTTTTGGCAAGTGTTTAACTCTATCCCATACTTGATGACCATTTAAACGGACGGGAGGGTGCTCATTCTCAACAGTTGCTTTCTTAAATTTGTATGATTGACGCCTATAAGGATGTTCCATATCTAAAAATCTCCTATGGCAATCAAACCATGAATTTTTTCCTCCATGTTTTAAAGTAAATGCCTTTGTATCCTCCATACAAATTGGACATGCTAATTTCCCTTGAGTCATCCATCCAGACAACATTCCATAAGCAGGAAAATCATTTATCGTCCACATCAGTGCTGCCTTCATGATAAAATTTTGCTTCCTTGATACGTCATAAGTTACTACACCCTCACACCATAACTCTTTCAACTCATCAATCAAAGGTTGAAGGTATACATCAATTTTAGCCTTTGGATTTTCTGGACCAGGAATTATTACAGTCA